TGGCTTCGCTGAACACCTCGCCTGTCCTCAGGCTTCGAAAAGGTGTGTTCTTGCCGGCACGGACGGGGCGAAAGTGTCAATCAAATTAATGAAGTGTACAATTGCAGGAAAGCAATGTCCTGCGTGGAAAGACACACACACACACATATATATATATATATACTGTCTTTGAGAAAGGGTTCTATTTAGGCTATACTGAATATGTCAGCACCTTTTGCTGCGTGATTGACTTGGCTGTGCTGGAATAGTGTACTCCAGACTTTGCCCTAAACCTGGGGTGGCTGAGCTGGCACTTTGTGAGTTGTGGAACAGTACAAACCAAGGGGAAACGACGCAAACTCAAGCAAATTCAGGAGATTCCAACATTCTAAGAGTTGTGTGTTGTTTGCGGACAAAGAAGGGTTTCTTTATTCTTTGTGTTTAAGTTTGGTTGCATGTGCTGCCCGTTAATAATTCTTTGATATGGGGTTCTGCAAAGCGTTTTGAGGGCAGATAACATCCTACAAGTGTGCCCAGGTCGTATGCTTTTCCTCATGAGCCTCTGGAGGACAAAGCCAAAGCAGATGTGCATGATCTGGGTCTTCCCAAGCACCACCACCTGATTAGTTTTATTTATGCTTCTCTAAAAATAGACACAGATCTTTGTCCTGTTCTGTCTCCTTTCTGTTTCCTTTTCTTTTGGTGTCAATGTTGCCAGGTGGTACGTGGATTTGACCACAGCTCCGCCAGTTGTTCCTCAGGACGATCAGAGAAGGAAACAGTTCAATTCAGTCTGTGTGTGTCAAACACAGGTTTCAAGTCAATTCCTAATAAAATCGCTAAGCAAAACATGGTAATATAAACAAGAAACTACTACTAAGGGTTCCTGGCCTTATTATATACTAGGAACAAGAAGCTATCAGTAACAAACAACATTGTAACATGCATTTGACGTTATTGCATTCAAGAAACAGGCCATCGGCATCCTCGGTTCAAGGAGTCTCCGCAGCCAACGATCCGAATTCGCAGCCTCACGCGGGGGGAGGCGCTGATGATCTGCTAAGACTCTAAGACCTTGTTTCCTTCGTAGCGTACACTGCTGTTTGCCTTGGAGGGACGAAAGACTCGGCGAACCAGCAACCCTCAGGTTGGTGCACAACATGTCAGGCCAGCTTTCACAAAGTTTCAACAGTTCTTTGATCCACTGACTGGATATGTTCTCAACCTGTCCAGTGTGCTTGATCAAAGACGCTGTGAGCACTTTCTAGGCTTATCATGTGTCTTTTATGCTCATATCATGTGCCAGGAAAATGTGCTCACATTTTCCTCATGCTCTTCACGCTCAGGACTCCAAGTGCTGCTTTGGCTGGCTCGCCCAAGGCAGATGGCAGCACTGGGAGAAGTATCTTTTGCGGCAGCACACAACAGGCTCGGCTCGAGAGGTTTCAAAGGGATCTCAAGGGCTTGCGGGCACGCTGGATGCTGATTGAAAGACATTGACACGCATTTGAGCGCCCTATCCACTTCATTTGACAGGTCCTGGACGATCTGGCTGGAACAAACCTCCTCAAAGAGGTGGTGGGGGGCAACCCCTTGAGCAGGCCAGACGAAGAACAGGCTGATTCAGCAAAAGCAGCGCATGAAAGCTTCAAGCTCCAGACTGTCTTACCAGAATTGCGTCCAAAAAGCATGAGCACATTTAAAGTGGAACATAAGAGAAGCTTTAATCGACTTGCTCCCGGAGCCATATTCACAACATATCAAACCACAGAGTCTTTGGCATTTGGATTGTTCCTTTGTTTAAGACCATCCAGACCGATATTCACTCAACGCATCTCACAACACTGAAGTTTCATATGATTCCAATTTGGCGTTTTTTTTGGTACACAAGTTTGTCAACACCAAACCAGTGTTGAATAACAGCTTCTGAGCATTCCCTTGCATTCTATATTTGCCTGTCTTGCAATGGCAAGACAGGCCACTGCGAGTGAGGCCTTTCCAGGCTCATTCACTAACATACTTAATCTACTGCAGGATAGACTGTTAGACATGGTTCGGTCAGATTTCATCATTCCAGATACGCAAGAGACCTGCTCTTCAACTAAGGGTTGCCAAAATATGCTGATCAAGACTACTGGGAGCAGCTGGAGCCTTTGAAAGATTTGAGCGCAGTAGCAAGGACGCTATGAGGTGGAGGCCATCGCAAGTAGGTTGGAGGCCATCGCTACTAGTAACAAGAAGCTACTAGTAGCAAGGTGCATCGTTTGTTTATATACAATTGATTCAGCACCTTTTCAAAGCACCGGAGCAGAGCGAACTAGCCACCCTTTGCAGGCGCTACCAAGCGGACATGGCTTCACCAGAGGCGGCAAGAGTGATGCTTGCACAGCATCGTCCTTATGTTGCACATGTCTTTCTTCCTTTAGGGCTCCACCGAATGGTATATGGGCTGGAATGTTCTCAAGAATCACCTCTTTATTGGAGGCGGAGCTGTTTTGCCCTGTGATGTCCTTGCAAGCAGGAACCTTGAAGCCGTGAAGTTCCTTCGGCTCCTCAATGGTCACGCCGGAGCTATAATTCTATGTAATCCTTGTTTGGCTTGGGTTGGTTTCTGCAAGTCCTTTTGGCTTCTGGTGGTGTGAATGTCACAGAACATTCGTTACGCGTGCTCGACAACAACATGCACATTTCTCCTTTGCTTGTAAGTTTTGGGAAGTGAGCCTCAATTTCATCGTGAAAGAACTCCATTGGCGGAGTTGTTGGCGGCTATGTTTGCCCTCAACATCTCAATCTTAGAATGCGTTTGGCTCACTGGCTGTTGGATGAAATTGGATGAACTTGGCTAGTACGTGAAAGAGCCGCACCTACTGGGGACTGCAAAAGGAGACCGGTTAAATAGTTCACGACCACAAACGATCACAAAGTGCTGTTGCTTTGGCTTTCGATCTTCAAAATGTTGCAAAGGGCATGGCGTGAGGACCAGATTGATGCCTTTGGTAGTGACGCTCTGGGGTATCTCCCATCCTCCATGCTGTGAATATTGCCATGATAATGATACAGTGACTAGAGATTCTGTACTTATATATAAGAATCTGGCTACACTGTGTGCAGCAGTTGCTCGGGGTTGCCTCGCCACCGTGTTCGTTTCCAGTGGGTGCTGTGTCATGAAGCAGTGCTGGCAGTCATGTAAACCCCCAGACAAAGTTGTTCGCTGGGCTTGGAATCTGGCCTGAAATATCATGAAATCCAGATTTGACAGATTCTGATTTTTGGTTCGGCAGTTAATGTTCATTATATAATTTTCATTATATATAAAAATAATCCAAGCCTGGGTTGAAGAGGCAACTCCTTTGTTGTAATTCTGGCAGATGGCAATTCAGCAGTTTGCGTTTGAGCTTGGACCTGGTTTCCGCTCGGTTTTCAGGGCCCAGTCTGAGTTGTCATTTTATGTTGTTTTTCGCGGCTGTCGGTCCTAACAAGGTCTTCTGAGAAGACTCTTCTCAGTATTCTACTGCCATCCGCCGAGGCTTGCTAGGGTCTTGGGGTTTGGAACCTCCTGGCCACGTGCTGGAGCTCGGCTGCCACTGCCTTATACCATGGCGAGATGGCAGGGCATAGGTGTAGATTGGGTTGGACATGTTGGAGTCGGAGATACAAAGTCGGCACAAGCAGGGCAAAGCTGGGTGACGCTCGGAACAAGTTGACTGATTTAGAGCGTGCATAAGCAGTGCAAGAGTCATGCGTCAAAGGGAGGGTCAGTGAGGCTGAAGCGACCCACAGTTGGAACCAGCTTGAATAGGGAAAAGTCATTTTGCCACTGAATATGCCAGCGTAGTGCACTGTGATGCAATGTGCATGCATTTGTTCATGCAAGTCTGTGTGTTTGGCATGGTCATGCATGGTGATTGATAAAGCAATGCTTCACCTCATCATTAGTGTATTATAATGTCTTATATATAGTTGATAAGTACACGGGACCAGCACCAATTTTCTGAGGTGGCCATGCTTCCTTGGTGCCTGGCCTGGTTGAGGTGGAGTAAAGCACGAGCCTATATGTGTGCAAGCTAATTATGTAAGCCACTGTTTGGATTGTTTAGACAAGCGCTGGATGAATGTTTCGGGCAGAACGCAGGCTGGCTTTGCTGCACTTGCAGCAGACTTTTCTCCCACTGCAGTGAATGCAGTGAATTACTTACAGATACTGTTGTTGCTTAGGTGCTTAACTTGTTATGCATATTTATATGCATTTGATTTCTGCTTGAGAACGCTGTTTCCCTGCAATACACTGCAGCTTATCACAGCTTATCGCAAGTGAGCTTGAGGCCGCAGCGATCTCGAGAGTTGGCCCACGAGAGTTCTCAACCTTCGATGTCAGGAGAGCCACGCAGAAGCCTCTTCCCAGCCTTAACCTGATTCTAGTTTGACATTTTGGAAAGAGCACGGCAGCTGCAAGTGACCGGGATTGCTTGTTTACACATTCCCGACAATTCCATATGCTTCCCAAGACTCAACTCGCGGACACCACTCCCGCCCCTCAAAGCCGTTCCACATTCCATATTCTTCCCCAGAATAGTATTCTCCAAAGGAAGCAAAATGCAATAAAATGCATGGCTCTTGAAGGGGCAGCAAGGGAGCCAGGTGCTACAAGATAGAGTCGCAATCTACAGCGAAAGACGGAGCTGCAGTCGGATGGTATCCTCACCGGGTAGTTGGCTAGGCAGATCCAAAGAAGAGATTGTGCGTATATTTTTTGTGTAGGATGCTGCCTCTTCGAAGTGGCGCGTTCGATGCAGCCCGCACGCTTGGCGTGCAAAGAGTGGAACATGTTCTTATATGGCAGTCATCATTGCAAACTCGCAGTGAAGTAGTCTGCCTTATTCAGCTTGCTTAGCCAGGTCATTGACAAAGGTTGCTTTGATGCCTTGAAACCAGAAGATTCGAGTAAGATGCTCTCAGAGGCGCCCCATGTCCTCATGTCACTGGTGCAGCATTCTTTGTCGCATTCTCTAAAGGCATGCCGGGTGCTTGGGCCAGGCGGCCGATTTCTGTGCGTCGTATCCCAAGTGTAAAGACGAAGTCTTGCGCAAAGCGCTGTATTTGGCGCCGCTAGTGTTCAACACTTAGCATTTTTGCTCTAGGTCTCAAACAACGAGGTCCTCGTTCGCAGCCGCGCTCGCAAGCTTCAAGGCTTCGAAACAACACTTTTGTGCAATTTTGTGCATGTGTTTGTCGGTAAGAAGACCGTACAAAAGCTGTAGTTGCTAAGAAAGCTTTACTGTACCTAATAGCGATGGCCTCCACCTAGTAGCTTCCAGTTACTAAGAAAGCTTCTAGTTACTAGAACGCTTCAAAGACATACTAAAAAGCTTCTTGTTACTACAGGTGAAACAATTCCCAGTGAAACGACTCCCAACCACCTGTCCATTTGCAGCTTTACTTTTGAGGCTGGCGACAGGCTGCAGGTACCCCTGTGCAAATTCCTGACATTGATGACGAGGCGTTTTGGATTCTGCTTCGTTTCGGGGAATAGTCTCGCATTACTGTATTGGCTATTTCGTTTGCTCACTAAGATCTACTTGCACTGCTTCGTCCGTGAAGCTGTCCGCTGCCCAGAGTAATGTCAAACTAAATCCAGGACAACTGGGAGGTAGGACCGATCACAAGTGTAACAACGAATGATTTCGCTATAATGCGCTATCTAGCTTTACGTTATGTAAACAGGTTTATGATGAGAAATCTGGTTAACCGATCAACCAACAATTTCTATGTGTGTTCCCTGAAAAGGCTGAATGAGTGATTACTTCAGACTACTGTAAAGTAATTAGGTACTTCGACAACATTTTTTGCAAAACATGTTTGCCTTAGGACGATCGCACATTGGCACATGAAATTGCTGTGTCCTCAGTGCTTGGGCCCTGTCAATGCGCAGATTCCACCAAACAAAGATTGACAGGTCATGTTTGTTCCTTGGGCTCGGGAAGTTGCAGACATCATGCTGTACATCTCCGAAGCCTTGGACTTGAAGTTTTTGTCAAGTGCCCTGAGTGAATGCAGAACTGCGGAGCATTGCAGAGCTGCAAATGTGTAGGGTGGAGAGACCCTCATCATTGGATCTGCCGCAGCAAGACGCGACCTCAGCTACCCACTATGAGAGTGGACATTTGACGCGCACAAGTAGCATGAAATGCCCAGGATTCCAGACAGCTCGTGTTCAATGGTGGCCGCCTACTAGATTGGAGGCTGGGGATGGGACCGGAGTGGGAGACCATACTTGTCGCAGCAGATTTCAACAAGTCAAAGATACAGAGTTTGCTTTGCCATTGCTTGGTCAAACGGCGCACACGCTGCCCAGCTCTTTCAGGCTTCAGGCACTAATCATTTAGTTGCATGTTCGGACTAAGCATTGACGCTGCTGTAGTCAAAGAGATGAAATGACTTGCATGCCAATATAGTAGATGAAAGTAGATGCAACGTTTGAGGACACATTGAGTCAAGTTAATGTTCCACAAATTAAGCACGCCAACTTTGCGAAGCAATGAAAGCTTCTGTGAAAAAGCCGAAAGCGAAGGCCAAAAAGAACAGCAAAACTGCAGCTGCGCGCGAAGGGCAGATTGTGCCGAGAGTTAAAAAGCCAGCAATTCCAGAGCTGCCTATTACAAAGCTGATAGCGGATGCACAGGCTGATGGAAAGCAATTAGTGCAGCTTCCCAAAGGAGAATTGACGCAAAGCAACAGAGTTGTTGTACACTCCTCCATTCTGCTCGAGGCATCTCCAGGCTCGTTACTCCCTCCGACACTGCATGTGCCAGGCATTGTGGTGACAGGAGAAGCATCTTTAACTTTGCGACATGTTTGCATCAAATTCAAAGGCGGCCCGCCCAGTGGAGAAACACTCATAGAAGTTCGATCTGGGGCTCGATTGGAGCTGATAGATTGTCATTTGGACGGAGCTGGAGTGAAGGTATGCCCTGATGCGTTTGCTCATTTAACCCGGACTCGAGTTTATAAGTCAAGCTCATGTGGGATTTCTGCTTTTGATTCGGGAGAGCTTGTCTTACGGGAATGCGAGATCATGGATTGCGAGGGAGAAGGTGTACATTCAACCTCAGGGAAACGGCTTTGCATTTCCGACAGCAGAATGGCTCGGAACACACTCAGTGGTGTTCTCGTAGATGGAAAACCGGGAGAGGCCAAACTTACCGGGTGCACTTTGTGTGAGAATGGGCATTTTGGCATTTGGGTGGATTCGGGTTGCTCCGTATCATGGCAGCGAAATGCACTATCTGGCAACATGCTAGGTGACACTGGTGGACGCGGATCATTGGATGGAGAAGTCAAGACCTTCAAGGTTGGAGACGCATGCTCCGTGTGGTGCGAGGACAAGGCTGTGTGGCTCCCTGGAATAGTCTCCAAAGTTTTGGACGATAGTTTCATTGTTTCAGCGGAGCTGCCAGACAAGCTGGAGGTGCGAATGGAGGCAATGCAACAGCGGATCAGGAAGAAGACCAAAGCAGCGCAGAAAGGACGACAGATCGAGATTAAGGCCCGGGATGACTCCATACGACTACCCAGCGGTGGAGACGAACCTCCCAGTTGGTCCAAAAAGCTGAAAACATACAAGCGAAGACAAAATGCCTTCAATCTTTTTCTGCGTGAGGGTGGCAGAAGTACTTCCGCATGGAAAGCACTGGATCCAAACGAGCGGACAAAATACCAAATGCGTGCAAGGAAGTTGGACAAAGACAAAGAGAAGGAGCTGACAAAGGCTGATAAGCCTCAGACAATTATCCAAAGTAATCAGCTGGTCAAGTCCATTGCTAAACACAAGCGTGGACAGAGCCAAGCTTAGGCTGCTCAGGCAAGTCTCACTTGGCCTGGTAAGCAGTACAACCATGTACAATCATGTAATTCAATGTTTACAATATGCAAATGCCATGAATGCGTCATAATAAATTCAGGCTACAGACCGTGTGACTCGATCCAAAGTCCTGAAAAATCAAGTGCTTGATGCGAGAGAAAAAGGTAGATGCAAATGTTTCACCAAACATCTATGACGCTGATCCGTTGCCCCTTGACCTTCAAATGGAAGCTTGGAGTGCAGGTACCAGAAAGTGGTGAGGAGCACAGTTTGCAACAAACCAGGGGAAGCGCGTGAAGCGTGAAAAGCAATGAAAAGCATTGAAATTGAAAGCCACTGGAGAAGGGTGCACGGCCATTGAAAGCATTTTTTGCATTTCTGTTTCACCATGTGTCACTGACTGTGTCACTGCTTTCAAGGCTTTGAGGCTGGTTGCCAAGTCATGTTTTGCTTGCACGATTTTGGGTGGCAAGTGACGCATAGTGACGCCGCTAGTGCCAGTGTAACTCGAAAAAGTCTTGCAGTTTGCGCAGGTACTGCTACCGAGGGGATATCAGATTTCGCGGAGAGGCACAGACCGACGGACAGGTGTTTTTCCCCAAGAAATCTCGAAGCGAAAAAACCGAGCGAATCGAAGCCTTTTGTGTCCAGTTCCTTAGTGTTACATGGAAGAAGATGTCCTTGCTTCCTGTTAGTATCTTTTTGCTTACTAGCCTATGGTTTATGCTATTTCGGCTTTCCCAGCTCACCATACCTCTCTACGACCTAGCATCCCAAGGAAGATCGGATTTTTGTTTTCTACTTGAGTTGCGTGGGTCCTTCAAGGCATCAAGCCTGAGATGTTTGCAGCAAGATATTCTGCTCGACTTCACAAGTTGACAATTCCATTGGAGAAAAGAGCGATGCATATTTGGTATTTGGATATTTTCCTAATCCCGGATTCATCGGGATTTCAATGACAACACATCGATTTGCCAGAAATAAATTATCAACTTGCGTATACTTGAACTTGCATAGGTTTTTGCCGTGGACAATCGCAGCCATTGGCACAGCACAGTAGAGAGGCTGATGGCTGATGCTAAGAACTGACGTTAAGGCAAGTTGTCGACCCTGCTGTATGGTTCAATGATTTTGCACCATTTGTCAGATCACTGATACTTGCCAATATACTTGTTCAGTTTCGGGGGTAGCAAATCTTCCAAAGAGTTTGCCATGGAATCAGAGGCTGGCCTTTGGCAAGGTTGTGTTGGACTAGATTTGACATGTGCAGCGCAGGAAAGAATAGATGGAGGCTTTGTCGATCAAGTGGCCGATTTGATCGTTGACCCAGCGGAGGCAGCCTCCATGTTTGTTTACATCGAAAAGCAACAGCTTCCTTCAGGTTGGCGTCGAAGATGAACAAATTAAAGCTAGCACAGCCAGCGGCGTAGGCATCTCAGCTCCGAGCCATTCCTGCCAGCTGTGTCGCAGGTCTTATTTTGTCACGACTGAGGGAAAGGGCCGCACTCTACGTGCGTACAATGTCTTGGGGGACCCTGAGGCAGGGACAAGACTGAAACACAACATGATAGAGGAAAGTGAAACCGACACTTTGGCAAGAAGTTGTCAGAATTCAGGTGATCGTGGTTCCAGATTTTGTAGGTGCAGCTCTGAACTCAGTTGCATCTTGCACGCAGCAGTTGCTGCTGCTCTTTATGACAACCTCTTCCAAGTAGAGTCGTAGAGGCTTGGTTTCATGTATAAGGGTGCAGTGGTAGAAGGCACGACTTGGGAATTTGGGAATAGCTCCAAAGGCAAGATGAGGTTCTTGATGGTTTCTCCATTCCATGTTCTGCGCTTGTGTTGTGTCAAAAGAAGTACTCGCCATGCAAATTTGGTACGTGTTTCTTTTTTGATGCTGTTGATTCAGCGCCGCTTCCTCGTTACTTATCCATCTTATCGCTTCTTTAAGTACAACTGTTGTGGGGGGTGTTGGCAACAAATTAAATGCAGACTTGCCTCATGCCATACATTTAAATCTAGCCAATTGCATCCATTTGCAAAGGTGGTGGGAGAGTTTCTAGGATTCCAACATGTTGAACTTAAAGCATGCTCACGCTCGATGTATGCTTGTCATCTTATGGATGACCCTGCCTTTCTGTTGGCACTGTTGGCACGCAAAACAACACACAACACAGATATATATATATATAGATAGACGATTAATACAACAGCCGCTCCCTTGTGATGAGCAATGATTTTGGCAGAAGCAAGCTTTATACTTTATCCGGTGTGTGTGTGCATGATGCGAGGGACACGACGCGTGACCACAATTGTGTCCGGTTGTTTATACGTTCATGGCTTGTGGCACACATAGGACTAGGAACTGAATTGAGGCTGAAATTGAGCATTTGCTGAAGCTGGCTGAAAACGGTGGCAGCCTCATGAAGAGACGCTTGAACTTGTTTTGGTAAAAATTACAACGTCGAGAATTCTAGAGTTGTGACATACCAAACATCTAGGACGGCAGTGAACTTCAATAGTCCTTTTCCCTCCGGATTGGTTCTAAACCCTGACTCCTGCATGGGCCGCTGTCCCATCATGTGGTAGGTAAAATCAAGGTACAGAAACTAGACAAGTAGATTGAAATAGACAAACTAAAAACTTTCAAACCGGAGGTAGACGAACACGGCAAAAGACAAAGCGCGAAAGACAACATGGCGGAAGCTTTAGGCCAAGACCTCAGGGTTTTGAGCACCGCTCAGGATTGCCACTTACTTGTAGCTGATGTTCGTGTTCAGTTTTGTAGGCAAGGTATGGCAAGGTAATTACATAAAGAAGCGGCAATATATCATCAATGGCCCTGTTGTGAAGACCGCGGTCGAATATGTCTAAAGGATGATGGATGCTTCTCGCAACTGCCCTTTCTTGGTCGTTTCTTTCAACTATCTCTATGAGGGAAAGCGCAATCACATACCACATTTTAAATCTTTCAAAGCCAAGGCTCCAGGACTAGATCAGAAGTAGATTGCCACAAGGAAAAACAAGAGTGGAGCACAAATGCAATTGAACCTTTTTGGACAATCAAAGCATATAAAACATCCATAAACATCCTGTGATTAGAGAAACCATGGGAAACCCATGAGGTAGAGCAAAAATAGAATATATAACTACGAGTGAGATCAAGAAGCTACGAGTAACAAGGGCATCGCAAGTAGTAGCTTCTTGTTACTAGTAGTCATGCCCTTGTTACTATATAGTAGCATCTAGTAGCAATGATGTCTTTGTTCAAAGCTCCAGTGTGCTGAGGTTGGGAGCCATCAGAGGCCACGTCGCGCAGAGAAGCAACTCTTGTCACCGGAGTCACTCTTGTTCCCTGCAGGTGGGCTCCGGAGTGTATCGTACAAAGAATGAGGGGCAGGACTTGGCAAGGAACCCAGTCGGACTTGGTCCAATGTCCTGACTGTCAATGTGACAAGACCTCGGCTAAGTGATTGGCTAAGGAGAATCAAGTCTCCAACATTCGGACGTCCTACTCTTGCCTCATTGAGCCTGGACATAGTGACGTGGTGACTGCAGCCTGGCCCACAGATTATTGGGCCAAAGTAATTCGGATCTTGGAATAGAATATGACTTGTAGCTACCCTGTCGACCAAGTTTGCATGCTTTACCTCCATTTGGTGTGAGTTGAGGCAGAAGTCAATGTGTTTTCGCATTGGCCAAGGTTGAACTTCGTCTGGCAGCACTGGCTGACTGCAACTTAGATTACTCAAATGGCAAAAAGAGAGAAGTCAGGCTTGGTGGCTGCGCATGGCTTCGCCTTGCTTGAGCAATCAGGACATGGATATAAAGTTCCTGGAACCATTGAACATGGTGAGGCGCCTTTCACAAACACAATACTTCCGTGACAAGTTATCATCATTTATGCAGTTCCTGATGTGCACCTTGCTAGTTCTGACAGGATCCGAAGTCCTCACTAGGTAGACTGGTAGACACCTCTTTTTGAGGTATGCACCGGGGCAGTTCTTCAAAGAGCATCACGATGGACGTTTCCGTGACGTTCTTGGCTGAAGGGCTGGATTTGGGAGCCTTTTTGAGAGATGTAGATATTGCAACAGAGTGAAAAGTGGTCCAATTTGCAGCAGAGGTCCAATCACCGTGTTTGTCTACCTGAATGACATCCCGCGCTTCCCACAGAGACTTTGGAAACTGCTAGAATCTGCTAGAGATTCTCGGAGCGCAGGCTTTTGGGATCAAAAGAGAAGGTATTTGGGCCCTATTAAAAAGGGCCCCCTTATTAAAGGGTCCCAAACACATTCATTTTTAGCAAAAGCCGGAAGAAAGGTTCAATCCACTGAGGCCAGGAGAGGGTGGCGAGACTTTTTTCCCCGAGCTGAATATGAAGGCACAGGAGTCAAGCTCTTTGTCTTGATTGTTTGATTCTGATTTGAGTCACCTCACATATATAGTTGGTTCTTCGACTCTGCTCTGAAAGCTCCAGAACCAACAGGTCGTGCCTCGGAAGGGCTGCGCAGCATGAAGCTCGGATTTGACTTGACGCAAGAAACCTTTAGTCGGTCATCACTGGGATGTACGGAGTTGTTCATCTTCCTTTTTCTTTTCTTTTTTTAGCCCGGCGGGGTAGGCCGCCAGTAGTTAAAATAGCTACTACCTACTGGACGCAGGATGGCTGGCGCTAGTGATTTGGTTCCTTATGGAAACTACTAAACTAGTAGCGATGGCCTCCAACGACCTAATAGCGATGGCTTCCCCCAGTAGCGATGACCTCCAACCTAGTAGCGATGGCCTCCATCCTCTCCAAGGTGATGTGGAAGAACATCATTGGCCCTCAACAAGAAGACCACAGAATGGTGCGCACTCTATAGATTCGCTTGTGCAGCCAATTTGGAGGCAAGTTAGCACCATCTACCACCGAGCGAAGAAAGATGCATAGCAATTGTAAAACACATTTGGTCCACAGCATTTGGGTTCAGCAGCGCATGCTGTAGCGGGGATTCAGATCTTTAGCAAACTATGGCAGCTTTGAGGAGTTTTGTGTTGCAATGCAATGCTTTGAAATACGGAGAGTCCTAATGTGCCCACGGGCGACTTCAAGCAACATCATCAAACTAATTATTGAGATGCTGATTCATTGAAATGATGGACTTCTTCTTGGTTGATTTTGTTTGGACAGACGGTACATGAGTTCGGGGTATTGTGAAACCAACACATAGTGGCATGCAGCATAAGCATATACTGTAGTACATGATACACAGGTTGTTGCAATTCTTTTCAGCAGTTTGAGCTTTGTCATTTATATACATCTCACCTGATCCTTCAAGCCACTTGACCAAGGACCTCAAGGCTGCGCTTTTAGTCATGTCCATCATGGTCGCGTCAGCGACACCAGCATCACCAGCGGCACCAGTCCCGGGCGCCAGCGACCAAGAGTCTATCCAGACAGCGATTGCAGAAATGACCAAGAGTTTATCATGAACAGAGCTCATCAATTGCAGACGGTTAATGTTTCTCTTGAGGTACACGGACTCAGGGGCAATACTGAGGCTGGACACCAAAAACACGTGCAGCAACTGTGAAGTTGTAGCTGCATGGTGTAGAAACTATGTCCTGAAGGCTCAATATTGGGCCAGTTGCCGTGGAAAAGTGGTGTCCAGGGTCCACCTTCATCTTTCCTGAGGTCAATCGGTCAAACTCTTCAAGCCCGAGTGGCCACTTCAGCTGCTTGGTGGAAGTGACGGTCCTGAGAGAGTATGATCCAATTGACAATAGTGTTGCAAGTTGAAAAGACCCGTGAAGGTTGCACATGAGACTAGGCTTTCTTCGTCCCAAATTGCAGTGTTCTTGCTGCCCTTCTCTAATTAGTTGAACTAGTGTTGTACTCTCCTTTGATTATTTTGATTTGGCTTGAGCAATTACAAGTTGTGAAATGTGCGCCGCACATCATGAGGGTACTTGACATGACCATTTGTCACCCTGCCGCCTCAAACCAAAGTGGTGGGGCGCTAGCCTTCTGACGCCAATGGCCGCTGGAAAAGCTGCCGCGTGATCGCGGTACTTCGTGGACGACTTTGCATCGGGACCTTGAGAGCCCGAACCTGGTGAGTTGCGCCCGCTTACCAACATTGGGCATTTGGGACCGAGGAGACTGGTACTTGTGGTCGCCGTTGATGTTGAGCGCACACGGCGCAATCATGGGCCTTTGCCTGGTTTATCAGGCTTTCGTGGGCCCCCTTCATGGTAAGCAGTCGGCATAGCTCTGCATTCGTCGGATGCCCCAGGTTCCGATGAAGTCGACTGATCGTCCTCTTTGCCTGTTGGCTATCGGCTGCAACTTGAAGGCGCTGTAGTACCCCAGTTTGTTGCTGACCTCCTCGAGGACCATCTGTGGGTGGAGCATCTCCCCGAGGTGTAGTCTGTGCAGAGTTTTGATTGGGCTCATCGTCGCGGTGGTGGTCAGCAATAGTTGGAGTGTACTCCTCATCATCATACTCGCCAGTTGCCATGCCCAGCTCCTCAGGCTCATAGTAGAGGAGGTCGATCGCCTCTCCAATCCAGTGGCAGAAAGTCTGCTGATAGGCCCCTGCTGCTTTGGTCAGTGAGCCAACTCCTGGTAGGGACCCTTCAAGTTGAAGATGTGTGTGGTCTCCAGGGCATCTCCATGCGAGCATGTCAACCATCGAGGGGCTTGTCAACTGCAAGCGCGTTGGCTTCTTGATGTACTCACCTGCAATCTTTGTCTCATAGGCGCACTGGTCGAGTCGGCATGGCCATCCTGGGAGAGTGCTCCAGGTTTGTGTGTCCCATGCCTTGGACCAAGCAGGGTGCTCGATCCCCGCATCTCTTCCTTCATTATACTGGATGACGAAGGTTCTCTCGGCCAGCTTCAGATGCACTGCTTCTTCATAGTCTCGTTCACACTGCAGAGCAAAGGTCTGTTCCTGTGTGAGCATATTCAGTGCTTGCATCTTTGACCACTTCTTGCATGCCGGGGCAATCCACACAAAGTCTGGGGCAATGTCCTCAAGGAGCTTGAAGTAGGAGTTACGATGGTCAGGGTAGTCAAAGTCCCAGCCCGTGTTGATGTCGAAGCTGAAGACTGTATAGCCCCTACGCTGCATCTCCATCGAAAGACCAGCTTCTCCAGAGTATACTTCCCAAAAAACTTTCGCCCCTTGTTCATGAGCTCGAAGGCCCTGCTCAAGGACGGTTCGTCTACGAGCGAACATTGTGGCATGGCGCACACGGATTCCCCTGAGCAGCTTGTCCGTGATCTCCTTCCTCACTGCTGCAACTTCCTCTTCATCATGTGGTGCCACCGGGCGATCTTCAACTTCTTCAGCATCAGTGACATTCTCCTCATCAGCCTGAAGGCAGTGCTCTGGAGGGTCTCTGCCTGTCGCCTCAAGGTACTGAAGCAAGGTGTAGGTTGATGAGTGCATCACTCCTGTCCTCTGAACCATCTCGTAGGTCTCGGTGGTGACGAGGTCAAAGAACACGTTCTCGCCCTTCGGATCGGCATGTACTCCATCATCCAGTCGAAGTAGGTATTCACCTCTTTCTCCACGAACGGCAGACTGCCATTCAGCATCCCCATATTTGATGAGGTCTTTGTCCCAATCCACCTTCACCTTGAGCGACTTCAAGATGGGTCTTCCCACGAGGAGAGGAGTAGCACCTTCCACCAGGAAGCATTCGATGAGGCCGGAGACTCCATTGACGTACACCGGCAGGCGAACAGTCCATTCAGCCTTGCGCATTGCATCGCCTCCAAAGCCAAAGAGCTTGGTGGTCGGGTGGAAGGTGTAGCGCTCCAAGGGTACTCCCTTGTCATACATCTACTCGATGATGTTCATCAGCGTCTGGTGTCCACAGACCGTGCTACTCGCTCCTCCATCCTGTAGGCCAAACCAGCCTTGCTCAGACAACATGGGTGTTCCCTTCTGGTTGAGGTCGTGCATCATGAAAGCTTGCCCAGTGCTCTTCGTAGCAGTCTCAGTTTTCGCACGCTTGGGGGGACTGTGAACCCTTGTTTTGAGGGCAATCTGCAGCTGCATGTCCATATCGGCCACACTTGAAGCACTGCATGGAGTCTAATGCTGTTCTTCCACGCTGAAGGGCTGGCCCCTTTTGCGGGGGTGACTTGCCCTTGCTCTTGCCCTTCTTTCCTTTTCCTCCCTTGACGACGGGTCGTTGTGTGGTAGCAGAAGAACTTGATGAGCCTGGAAGATCTGATGTGCCGGTCAGGGCCACGACGGGATAGTAGCCTCGAGCTGCTTTGAGACTGGCAAACTGTCTCCTGGCGTCCAGGTAGGTGGCATATGCCTCTTCCAGCTGTGGGTCGAAGTCATCTGTCCATGGCTCCTCCTGGTAGTAGAGCTCATCATCCGGGCTGCCGTAGGTGGCCTCAGGGTCCTCATACTCTTCAAAGGCCTGCTCATCCTCATAGAGCTCGTCCTCCAAGAGGTATGCATCCTCGTACTCCTCGGTGTCCAGGTCACATTCTTCGGCAGTGTAGCCCTGTTGAGGCTTCCTTGGATACCATCTTTGTTGCTTCTTGATGAGGTTCTTGTTCCATCGAGGATGTGTCTCGCCCTTGGTCTTGAAGTCCTGGCCATAGAGGTAATACATGGCCTCTTCCACCTTGGTCAGCGCCAGCGTGGCTCCCACCTGGGATTGCACCAGGTGTTTCTGTTCCTGCGTCAAGTTGCTTCTTCGGAGGAGCATCCAACCGGAGACACTGTCCGGTATCTTGACCCCGTGTTTTTCTATTTCCCTCAGCTGCTCTCTGTGTTCCGTGCAGTAAGAAAGAAGGGTTTGCTCCGACTTCCTGCCCAGCTGATAGAAAAACTTCTCCAATGCCCTTGGCATTTCGACCCGGCTGTCGTATTGGAATGCCACATCGAGTGCTTTGAGCACTCTCTCAAAGCCGTCGGAGGCCTCGGGGACGGCCTCGACCATGTGTTCAACTTGCTTCCAGGCCGTGCCATGCAAGCTCGTGAGCAAGTTCAATATCGCCTCCTTGTCCTTGCCTTGGATGGCGAGTTTCTTCTTGTACAGCATGATCCGCTGTCTCCACTCTCTGTAGTCCGCCACCTTGTTGTTGAAGACCGGGATGAAGGTGTCTTTCATAGTTTCGATGGTGCCACCAGCCACCGAAGAGGTAGTCGAAGGACCGCCCGTTGTAGGTCCATCACCACCTGGCATCGAAGCGCGTCCAGCGCTCCGCTACCAAGAGTTCAACACTCGGGTGCAGTCAGATACTTTGTGGATCAAGATGCCTCCCGCAAAACGAGCTCTACCAGTAATGATGATCAGTGATGCTGCCACTCGGTTTCTCGGAGGCAGAGTCCTGCAACGTGAATCTCCCGAGGAGTTCGTGCTGGCACTTGAACGCGGCTGGATCCGCACCTTTGGCCCTATGAAGATCTTGCAGGTTGATGATCACCGGAGCTGGTCTTCAGACTATGTCAAGTCCTGGTGCTCCGAGAATGGAATCCAACTACAGATCTCTCCCGGGCAGAGCCACACAAGACTGGCAATCTTGGAGAGGCGCCACCAAGTGACAAGACGAGCGATCGAGCTGTACATTGCCGATCAGGAACAGGGAGATGTCCTCCAACCTTATGAACCACGAGAGCGGTTGATTCAGGCACTGTGCTATGTCATCCCACAGATCAACCGGGGGACCAATGTTCGTGGGTACAGCCCTGTGCAGTGGGTTCTTGGCTACACACCTCATGTGCCAGGACTTCTTACTGAAGAGCCCCTTGAGCTGCCGAGCCTGGACCCATCGGACGAGTTCCTGCAGAAGCTACAGCGACAGAAGAAGGCAGCAAACGCAGTTTTCTCA